GGGCGAGAATGTTATATACGGCTTTAACGGATTTTCCCTGATCAACGGTAAACAGTTACAAAGGGCTACACAGGTGTCAACACTAACATTACAGACAGTAATGCTAGTGAGGCTACTGATTGCGCTTATAATTTTTAAAGGGGTGGACCGGTAAGCCAGCGGAAGGCATCGGTCAGATGACCGAGGTCATCATATAACTAAAACCCGCATCAGGAAATACCTGTCCTGTTTCCTGATAAACCTTGTACCTACTAGTAAGACTGGACGCTGTAGCAGTGCTAAGCGTCGATACACAAGGAACGTGGATTGTAAACTTAAAATTACCACAAAACCAAAGTAATTCAGTTGATACAAAAAGTATTTAATACAGATATATAATCAACAAAAAATCAACCTTAAATAAATCAACAATTTACCCTGGAGTCTTTCAATGAATTCTGGATTAAAATATTTATAAAAGTGAAGAGTTGGAAGTAATCTACTGTGTACAGGTTAGGTTAGGTAATGTTTGTCAGGAAACAGGACAAATATTTCCTGATGCGGGTCTTAAGTTATATGATGACCCACCACTGGAGCTTTTGGTCATCTAACCGAGGCCTTCCACTGGCTTACCGGTCCACCCCTTTAAAAATTGGGGTTATAATACCGCACACACAGGCTACAATCTGTCGGAATCCAGTGTTCGTGGAAGAGCTTAATATTGGCCCTAAAAAGAGCTTAAGCATAAACTGTATGTCTCATACACACAAAACATTGAATCAAAACTATTACATGGTCCCATGAATAATTAAAACAGCATCATGCAAAGAAAAGTTATGGGAGGTAATCAGGTTTAATCCAAGGAAGAACAGGGCAGCTCCTATTCCCTGGAACAAAAGTCCTTCACTGACTTGAGTGTAATAGCTACAAAAAAAAAAAAGTGAACAAATTGCCCAATCACGTCAAAGCCCTGGTAGTAACCTTGCGTCAAGCTGCAGAGCCCTGGTAGTAACCTTGCGTCAAGCTGCAGAGCCCTGGTAGTAACCTTGCGTCAAGCTGCAGAGCCCTGGTAGTAACCCTGCGTCAAGCTGCAGAGCCCTGGTAGTAACCTTGCGTCAAGCTGCAGAGCCCTGGTAGTAACCCTGCGTCAAGCTGCAGAGCCCTGGTAGTAACCTTGCGTCAAGCTGCAGAGCCCTGGTAATAACCTTGCGTCAAGCTGCAGAGCCCTGGTAGTAACCCTGCGTCAAGCTGCAGAGCCCTGGTAGTAACCCTGCGTCAAGCTGCAGAGCCCTGGTAGTAACCCTGCGTCAAGCTGCAGAGCCCTGGTAGTAACCCTGCGTCAAGCTGCAGAGCCCTGGTAGTAACCCTGCGTCAAGCTGCAGAGCCCTGGTAGTAACCTTGAGTCAAGCTGCAGAGCCCTGGTAGTAGCCTTGCGTCAAGCTGCACAGCCCTGGTAGTAACATTGCGTCAAGCTGCACAGCCCTGGTAGTAACATTGCGTCAAGCTGCACAGCCCTGGTAGTAACATTGCGTCAAGCTGCACAGCCCTGGTAGTAACATTGCGTCAAGCTGCACAGCCCTGGTAGTAACATTGCGTCAAGCTGCACAGCCCTGGTAGTAACCTTGCGTCAAGCTACACAGCCCTGGTAGTAACACTGCGTCAAGCTGCACAGCCCTGGTAGTAACACTGCGTCAAGCTGCACAGCCCTGGTAGTAACATTGCGTCAAGCTGCACAGCCCTGGTAGTAACATTGCGTCAAGCTGCACAGCCCTGGTAGTAACATTGCGTCAAGCTGCAGAAAGCAAAGTGACTATTTGTTTTACTACTAATTATGCACCTCAGCCAGTAGGTGAACTTGTCCAAAGTAAAGTATGACCCTGACTTTAATATTATTATTATTATTTCCTGATGAACGTTACCTAACCATCGAGTCAACACTGCTGGGACAAGTGTAGAAGTCTTCAAGAGAAAGTTGGACAAGTATCTCCATCTATTGCCAAATCTCCCAAGCTGTGATGGGTATGTGGGCCAGCAGGCCGCCAGCCGCAACAGACTGCTTGACCACACAAGCACCAGACAAGCCTGAACCAGGGCCGGGCTCCGGAAGTAGAAAAACTCGAAACTCATCAAAGGCATATTGGTATCTCATACCATTATCTATCCATCATTCGGGTTGAGAATTCAAGGAACACAAGCAGCATGGTGTACCGTCACAAGATCCTCGAGTCCCCACCCAGGGTGCGACCCACAAACGTCAACTAACTCCTAGGTATCTAATTACTGATAGGTGACGGGGTAGAATGTGTTTCAAAATTTTGCTCATCTCTCTCTGAAGAAGCCTGAACGTAAATCTTTTCTGTTTTGAGCTGGACTGCTCTACCGTCTGGTCACAGACCGGGCCGCGGGGGCGTTGACCCCCGGAACTCTCTCCAGGTATACCACTGAGGTACGAGGTACCTAGATAAAAACCTAACACTTATATAAATATTTACTACATTTAACATGTAATATAACACATACT